TTCTCGAAGTATAAGACGCACCTTTTCCCCTCAAAAAAGAGGCTGAAAATCTGGGTGCGTCTTATACACTGAATACAGCATTTTTTGCCTCCCAAAACCCCACCCCTTTACCAAAATGGCCGTGCATAGCCTTTAGGAGGCTTACAGAGTGCTCCTGGGGGCTGGGGTGGGGGCAAAATTGAGCATTGCTGCCCTCTCCAGCCCCCAGGAGCTTTCTGAAAGCCTCCGTAAGGCTCTGCATGACCCTTTTAGTGAAGTGGGTGGGGTTTCGGGAGGCAAAAAATGCTGTATTCAGTGTATAAGACGCACCCAGATTTTCAGCCTCTTTTTTGAGGGGAAAAGGTGCGTCTTATACTCCGAAAAAATACGGTATGTTAAGAGGAAACACGAAAATTACAAAAGCAGCTGGACCTCAGCAGGGCAAAGGGATGCAGGGAGGCGAAAAACTCCGAGAACTCCCTTGCTTAACCTGTCCTACTGCTGTTTTCAGGTGATGAAGATGGTGATGACACTCACAGCGGCAGAATCGGGCTGCATCCATTATGTGAAACGTTCGGGAGCAGCCCTTGAGCCAGGATGTATCATTGCTAAAATGCAGCTGGATGACCCGAGCAGAGTTCAACAGGTAAATTTGGAGGCTTAGCATCAAGGACTAATTCTTCACACAGATTTAAGCTAAACAAAAAAAAAAAAATGGGGATTGGCTTCTGGGGACATCTGCTGTTGCTGTTTTGGGTCTTGTTCGGGGGGTGTGTGTGTGTGTCAGGGAAGGGATGCCTTTTCCACTCTGACCTAGAGTGTTGTGATCTCCTGGTGGTCTCCCATCCAAGCACCAGCCAGATCTAAACTCAGTTAGCTTTTAGAGATTGGGGAAGATCAGCTAGCACAGTGTTGCCTAACCCTTTTTGCCTCGGGTGCCAAAAGCACGCCGTGTGTGCGCTATTGTGCGCGCGTGTGTGGCCACCCCCATTATTTAATTCCCCTGTGCGTGTGTGTGTGAGACACCCTCCCACTGCCCTGCGCATGCATGCATGGCTTTCTTGGAGCCTGGGGAGGGCAAAAACAGCCTCCCCCCGCCCCAACTGGAGGCCCTCCGGAGGCCAGAAATAGCCCATTTTCTGTCTTCCGATGGGCCCGTAGGTCCGTTTTTCTCCCTCCCCAGGCTCCAGAGGCTTTCTAGGAGCCTGGGAATAGGGGGGAAATGACCCAACATGGAAACTGGAAGTTTGGGAACGACTTCCAGTTTGCGCATTGGGTGGTTTTTCACCCTCCGGAGGCCTCAGGGAAGCCTCCGGAGGGTGAAAAACGGCCAAAAATCAAGGCCAAAAATCAGCTGGCCAGTGTGTGCATGCGTGCTGGAGCTGACAGGGCAACGCCTCACGTGTCCTCAGAAATGGCTCCACGTGCCACCTGTGGCACACGTGCCATAGGTTTGCCATCACGGAGCGAGAAGCTAGGGCTACTTATTGGGCCCAAAAATTCTTGGTCATGATCAAGGAGATGAATCCAAGAAATGGTTCCAAGGTCTTATGAGCCACCTCATACAGTAATATGTACATGAGTAGCCCCATGGCATGATGGTTGGATAACAACAACAACAGCAACAACAACAACAATATCCTGTTTCCCTGAAAATAAGACCTCCCTGGTTAATAAGCCCAATTGGGCTTTTGAGCGCATCCCCTGAGAATAAGCCCTCCCTGAAAATATTGCAACACAGCAGCAGCCATGAGGTGACCACGCTTGCCGGCACCTGCACCTCAAAAATAATAAGACCTCCTTGAAAAAAAGGCCAAGTGCTTATATAAGACCCTGTCTTATTTTTGAGGAAACACGATAATAATAACAACAACAACAACAGCTGAAGAAACCATGGACACCCTTGTAAGCTGCTGCAAGAAACTTGCACAAAGTGGTCACAAGCAGCATTTTCACTGTGAGGTGAATTTTGGCTGAAAACTGGAATCCTGACGCCAGTTTCCAGCAAAAAACATTGCAGACATGTGACTGCAGGACTCTACAAACGGCCTTAAATGTGGACTGGTTGTAGAATGACCAAAATGGGGATCATATGATCCGGGGTGGATGGGGGGGAGGGGATGGTGGCAGCTATTGGGACTTCAAATCCAGATCATAAGTACCGTATTTTTCAGAGTATAAGGCGCACCAGGGTTTTAAAGAGGCAAAATAAAAAAAAAAGTTTTTGCACTCTGCAAACCTCCCCAAAACGGCCAGTTTTTTGCAAAAAACGGGCCCGTTTT